ATGACTAATATCATGAGAAATCAAGGTCAGCAAAATGATATCACAATAAACAGTAGGGTCGGTTTATATTTGACTATGACTAATATCATGAGAAATCAAGGTCAGCAAAATGATATCACAATAAACAGTAGGGTCGGTTTATATTGGACTATGCTTAATATCATGTGAAATCAAGTCAGCAAAATGATATCACAATAAACAGTAGGGTCGGTTTATATTGGACTATGACTAATATCATGTGAAATCAAGGTCAGCAAAATGATATCACAATAAACAGTACGGTCGGTTAATATTGGACTATGACTAATATCATGTGAAATCAAGGTCAGCAAAATGATATCACAATAAACAGTAGGGTCGGTTTATATTGGACTATAACTAATATCATGAGAAATCAAGGTCAGCAAAATGATATCACAATAGACAGTACGGTCGGTTTATATTGGACTATGACTAATATCATGAGAAATCAAGGTCAGCAAAATGATATCACAATAACCAGTACGGTCGGTTTATATTTGACTATGACTAATATCATGAGAAATCAAGGTCAGCAAAATGATATCACAATAACCAGTACGGTCGGTTTATATTTGACTATGACTAATATCATGAGAAATCAAGGTCAGCAAAATGATATCACAATAAACAGTAGGGTCGGTTTATATTGGACTATGACTAATATCATGAGAAATCAAGGTCAGCAAAATGATATCACAATAAACAGTAGGGTCGGTTTATATTGAACTATGACTAATATCATGAGAAATCAAGGTCAGCAAAATGATATCACAATAAACAGTACGGTCGGTTTATATTGGACTATGACTAATATCATGAGAAATCAAGGTCAGCAAAATGATATCACAATAAACAGTAGGGTCGGTTTATATTGGACTATGACTAATATCATGAGAATTCAAGGTCAGCAAAATGATATCACAATAACCAGTACGGTCGGTTTATATTGGACTATGACTAATATCATGAGAAATCAAGGTCAGCAAAATGATATCACAATAAACAGTAGGGTCGGTTAATATTTGACTATGACTAATATCATGAGAAATCAAGGTCAGCAAAATGATATCACAATAAACAGTACGGTCGGTTTATATTTGACTATGACTAATATCATGAGAAATCAAGGTCAGCAAAATGATATCACAATAAACAGTAGGGTCGGTTTATATTGGACTATGACTAATATCATGAGAAATCAAGGTCAGCAAAATGATATCACAATAAACAGTAGGGTCAGTTTTTATTTGACTATGACTAATATCATGAGAATTCAAGGTCAGCAAAATGATATCACAATAAACAGCACGGTCGGTTTATATTTGACTATGACTAATATCATGAGAAATCAAGGTCAGCAAAATGATATCACAATAAACTGTACGGTCGGTTTATATTGGACTATGACTAATATCATGTGAAATCAAGGTCAGCAAAATGATATCATGATAAACAGCAAAATCGGTTTCTGAAAAAAATATATCATCTGAGATCAAGTGAAACAAAATGGTATCGTTATAAGCTGGGTGATAAATCGTTAAACGATCCTCATTAATAGCATGTGGAATCAAGTTCAACAAACATGTATCTAAATAAACAGCATGGTGATTTCCTATTTGATCATAACTGATAAATACTAGGCACATAAAGAAACTGTGCATACAAAAATTTCAAATCTAAATTTATCAAACCTGTGTAGACACATAAGGATTTAAACTCAGAGATTAGTGACATGTATCCAACATGCATGCACGTGTCACGTTCCGTGACGTCAGTGGGTTCGTCCTTGAGACGTGCAATACCTTGTTGCACGTGCATTCCGGGAAAGAGAAACAGAGCAAATGAATGCCACACAATACTGTCACTTTGGAAAGCTCAATCCCTGCCCTTGCGATCGTTCAAAAAATTAAACGGCTATTGAAACGCATAGCATGCCAAGGCTCACGTCTGCACAACGTCATAAGGCCATTGGGATGGTCCGTGGGGGAATGTCTCAACAAGTGGCTGCAAATTTCCACTGCCACCGGAACACCATTTCTGCACTGGTGAGACCCTACCAGAACACAAATGACGTCATCGATCGGCCACGTTCTGGACGTCCACGTGTAACAACGCCAAGACAGGACAGATGGATAAGGGTGACCCATCTTCGCCACAGGTTTCAGACTGCTGTGATGACTGCCCGAACCATCACAGGACTTCGTCGTATCCACCCCAACACAGTTCAACAACGTTTACGTCATCACGGGATCAGACCACGACGTCCCGCCATACGGCCTATCCTGACACAACGTAATCGATAAGATCGCCGAATGTGGTGCCGAAATCATGTCCGCAGACCCTTGTTTTGGTGGAGAAATATTGTTTTTACAGATGAGTCCAGGTTTAACATTTCCCATAGTGATGGACGTCAACGTGCCTATAGGCGCGTGGGAGAACGTTATGCACAGGCCTGTGTCTTGGAGAGGAATCGCTTTGGTGGTGGTTCCGTGATGATTTGGGGTGGAATAACAGCACGCCAAAGAACTCCTTTGGTGATTGTTCAGGGCAACTTAACTGGTGTGGGCTACAGGGATCTTCGACCTGTGGCAATTCCTTTTCTGCAACGTCATGTCCTGGGTTAACATTCCAACAGGACAATGCCCGCCCTCATACGGCAAGGGTTGTTATGGATTTCTTGCAACACCACAACGTTGACTTACTGCCTTGGCCTGCACATTCACCGGATCTCTCCCCGATAGAGCATGTTTAGGACGAGATGGATCGACGTCTACGCCGTCTTCCTCATCCGCCAGATAACGTCCTTGACCTTGCAACAGAACTTGAGAGAATCTGGCGTGACATCCCACAAGCCTTTCTTGCACGTTTGATAGGCTCTATGCGTCGTCGATGCACTGCTGTTCTCAATGCCGATGGTGGACATAGCCGTTATTGAGCTTGTGACATGGTCGTTTGACCCCTGTCCCGCTTGTGGACTCGTGACGTCATTGTGATTGACTTTTCAATTGAAATTCTCCCGACTTGTTATGGTCTCATGATCCCTCCATTAAAGTTTATATGTACCTTTGACATTGTTATCGTACTTATCAACTGGGATAATATTTTGACAATGCACAGTTTCTTTATGTGGCTAGTATAATATGAAATCACGTTCAAGAAGATGGTATCATAATAAATAGCACGGTCACTTTCCAGCTGACTGTGATTGATGTGAATAAATATCACATTAAATATGATATAAATAATCGCATAAATATTATCGCTTTAAACAGCATAGTCAGTTTTTTTTGTCCACATAAGTTCATCTGAAATCAAGTGCAACTAAACAGTATCTAAATAAACAGTAAAGTCAGTTTTTATTTGTTTCCAATTAATATCATGTGAAATCAAGTGCAGCTAAACAGTATCTTTATAAACAACATGATCAACATGTTTGATCTTGATGTACATCATGTGAGTCAGGTATCGCAATAAACAGCATGATAAATTTCTATTTGATCCTAATTGATATCAAATACATTGGTAATAAACAACATAGTCTTCGCTTATTTTAATATTAATATCACCTGAAGTCACGTGAAACAACAGTTTCGTAATATATCAAGGCCCCTTTAATTATCCTAATTTATATCTTATGTCATCTGACCGGCAAAAAGAATGGTCATTAATAGTGCGTCCGATGTAACTTGTTGCAGGAAGGTTAATACTAAGTTGAGAATATGCACATTATCATTCTCAGTAAGAGTAATAAAGAAACAAAATCACTTTGGTGCGAATAATTGATTTGTCAAGAACTACAGGTAGAAGAGGTAGTAAGGAAGTCCACATCTCGTTAACACTACACATCCTACAATACACCGACTTTAATAAACACATTCTATAGTAACTCTCATTTTCTTCGATCGCCTATGAAAATTCCGCTACTTTTAATCTACCAATGCTGAAAGTTTCGATTAAAATGTGGATCGTGTGGCCACATTGCCTTATCTATCTGATAGTGTTTCATCATACCATTATGGCATGTATAAACCGGACGTTTGAGGGATCTAACCTTCAGTCCGGTTTAGACAGGTCCAGGGCCTAGATTTTCAAGCTCTCTTAGCGCTAAGATAGTCGTGAGTTAATGTTAATGCATGGCACTTACGACTATCTTAGCGCTAAGAGAGCTTTGAAAATCTAGGCCCTGGTTAGTAACTAAAAGTAAGACAAGCATACATATGTGAGTGAGTGAGTTAATATTTAACGTCACATCGGCAAAATCTCAGCCATATCGTGACGAAAACAATTTATACAAGAAAAAGTGAAAACATTTTGAAGATTAATACCTGTCGACGATGGACAGTAAAAATACTAGAGAATCACAGATATGAATAAAACTAGCGAGCAAAGCTAAAATATTCCAATTAAACAAGACAATACAATATAAAACACGGGCTATAGATTGCCAACAACTGAAGGTAGATCACCATACCTGGAACCATGGGGACTTACATTACTTTTGCTACCTGCATGGACCCTAGCTGGATTTACACCATCCCTTCAGCTGCTGGCGATTGCAGGAATATTTAGCCGACAGTTACAACAACAAAAATACAACGTTTAAAATGTGGTAAATTCATATTTCACTTTGAAAAATTTGGGACTTACGTACCCTCAGGAGGAAAATAATTTTACAGTACTTTAACCCCCTTTGAGGGTACAGCCACCAACAATCTAAGTTACTTATCTAAACTACCAATCTTTAAAATATATCTATTTACAAAACACATCAATCAGAATTCATCAAATAAATCAATTTCTTTAAAAAAAACAATAATTAAATGAAAATTAACATTTGTAAAAAGATCCTTAACTGTTTTCACATTGAAACATTTAACCCTTATGATGGAGAATTCAACGGCATACATATGTAAAAAACGAAGAAATTGTTGAATCAAACGTTGTACACAGCTGTGCCGAACGTACTGATGTCTCGAACCATGGCACTGAGTATTCCCTCGTAAGTCGACCAATCCTTGTATTATCTTCTCAATGCCAATCTTCCTCTATCAGGTACCCGTGAAGATCCGGGTTAGAATTGGTCTTCAGCAATCCATGCTTGCCGTAAGTCTGCACCAGTAATCCAGTGATCAACAGCATGAACATCGATCTACGTAATTGGGATACGATATGTGTCAACCAGGTCAGTAAGCCTGACCACTCGATCCCGTTAGTCGCCTCTTCCGACAAGCATGAGTTACTCAAGATCAGACCCGTGAAAGTCCGGGTTAGAATATTGATCTTCAGTAATCCATGCTTGTCGTAAGAGGCGACTAACGGGATCGGGTGGTCAGGCTCGCTGACTTGTGACATGTCATCAGTTCCCAATTGCGCAGAAGGATGCTCATGCTGTTGATCACTGGATTGTTGGTCCAGACTCGATTATTTACAGACCGCCGCCATATAGCTGGAATATTACTGAGTGCGGCGTAAAACTAAACTCATTCACTCACTCACTTACTCAAGATCAATTCTAAAACCGATCTTCATTATTCTCAGTATTTCGGTTGTGTTGAACCTCGGGTAACTCGAAATATTTTTGTTGGTCCCTTCAATTTCGACACAGCGGTGTTTGACTGTATTTGTATGTCTGTCTGTTCAGGTATCCTGGCAACGTTCGGTAACCTGGTTGTTCTACACATTTTCTACAAAAACAAGAAGCTTCTGAAAAATCCCCAGAATCTCTTCATCCTAAATCTAACAATATCGGACCTGGGTATCTCTCTGTTTGGATACCCGCTGACAACCACATCCTGTTTTGCCCAACGATTCTTATTTGGAGAAATTGGATGCCTCATCCAAGGCTTCACGACCTTCATCTTGGCCCTGTCGGACATGAAAACCTTGGTCGGGCTCAGCGTATACCGTTACATCTATATGTGTTGGCCACACTTGAGTAAGTACATCTTAAACATACACACATTTTATCAGTAGTTTTTTCTAACGATACGATATCCTGTCGTTTTACGGACCGGGGACCCGTTTCATAAAACTATGGTAGCGCTACGACTGTCGTAAGTCTATGTTAAAGGGCCCTGTTTCACAAAGCTATGGTAGCGCTACGACTGTCGTAAGTCTATATGTTACAGGGCCCCGTTTCACAAAGCTATCGTAGCGCTACGACTGTCGTAAGTCTATGTTACAGGGCCCCGTTTCACAAAGCTCTCGTAGCGCTACGACTGTCGTAAGCCTGTGTTAGAATGCCCCGTTTCACAAAGCTATCGTAGCGCTACGACTGTCTTGGGTCTATGTTACAGGCCCCAGTTTCACAAAGCTATCGTAGCGCTACGACTGTCGTAAGTCTATGTTACAGTTTTGGAGTTACGGCATTCGGAACCCACTGCACAAAGCGATCGTAACTTAGACCATAGACATCGCAATTCCATACCTTAACAATGACAAAACAATCGTTGATCTACGATGGCTTTTGGAACGATGACGAGATCCTGCATCTTCTTTGCCATGTACATCCTCTCCAGAAGCAACTTTAGCTTCTTACTAGGCTGTAGATTAGGGCCTAGATTTTCAAAGCTCTCTTAGTTCTAAGATAGTCGTAAGTTAATGTTAATGCATGGCACTTATGACTATCTTAGCGCTAAGAGAGCTTCGAAAATCTAGGCCTAGATCTATCTATCTAGGCATATAAATTACAGCCGTGAGTTAAAGCCTGCTTTGGCCATTCTCTGTTTGACGTCGATCATGTTAGATAGCAGCTTAATGATGCTAATATAGTCAGTGCAAAGGAACACCCGGCCTTGACACAGAATCTATATGGTGTAAAGGGCAAAGTACAATTTTAGTGGATGGATAACTAAAAAATCAGTGATGACACAAAATGTAGACACAACAGCAACAAAACCATCCCCGATCTACCCACCCCAAAAAATCCCGAAAAAAGCGTTGAGTTGAATCCGTTTTTGGAATCAGCAGGTACCAGTGATTTCCCAAATTAAAGTTTTGGTTTTGGTTTGTTGTTTTACGCCGCACTCTGCAGTATTCCAGCTATATGGCGGCGGTCTGTAAATAATTGAGTCTGGACCAGACAATCCAGTGATCAGCGGGTTACTTCAGAGCAATTCTAACCCGGATCCAAGGGTCTCAAATTGAAACTTGTTACAGTTGAAAGCTCTCCATAATTTTGAACAATGATCTATAGTTTATACTTTACTTATTTAAAAGGCATCTGGGGGGCGGTGGGGTATCCTAGTGGGTAAAGCATTGGCTCGTCACGCCGAAGACACGGGTTCGAATCCCCACATGGGTACAATGTGTGAAGCCCATTTCTGGTGTCCTCCGCCGTGATGTTGCTGGATTATTGCTAAAAGCGGCGTAAAACCAAACTCAGTCAGTCAGTCAGTAAAAGGCATCTGTAGAATGGCCAGTACGTATGTTTAACCCAAAGACATATTTTTATTATCATTATTATTATTTGCCGCATTGTTATCAGCAACAGTTATTAATAAGTCCCGGGCCCAGCATAGTAATATACATTAGAATATCAATTGATCGGACTAGTTTATGTCAACCCTGATGTATGTAGTTATCGATATATTCATGCGCTTCCAAGAGATTATCTGCAATGACGTCAATAATTTATGTTATCCAAAATGAGAAATGAACTCATAAAATCCACTTCGACTTATAATAAGACGATTATTATAAATCGCAGATATTAATTGAATCCATTGGCATATGATGAAGCTGTTGCCAGTGGAGATTGATTAGCAACAATGGATTCTGTACAGTTAGGATTAAAATAATCTGTCCTGTCATCGTCCTGTAATCGTGAGTCTGTCAGAAGCCAAACAGGTAATCAATTAAAATTTGGATTCTCTCGTGGACAGGGTCACGGTTATCTGTATTAACCACGGGATCAGGCTGATCAGTGCACGTATTTCCTATATTCGCAATGTGTACATACTTTTCAGACATTTTTGGCATATGATTGGCTGATTGTAAACCCTGATCTTGACGGGACTGGTTTCGCTTACACTTCTACGACAAGGACATTTGCTACTGAAGTAATTTGAAATTGCTTCCAGTGAAAAAACTAACCGCCTATTTAACTTCCTGAAAAAAGAGTTATCCCACAGTTGAGGATTACTGAAAAATATCTGCCCTTCAAATGAGATCAAATACATTAGACAATACGGCATAGTGAGAAACCAAAATAATTCCCTAAAATTGTTTAAAGTGCGTCATAGTGAGTGAATATGGTTTTACGCCGCTTTTCAGCAATATCACAGCAGAGGTCAACAGAAATGGGCTCCACACATTGTAAACACACCTAATGAAATGCTGTATACATTGTGTGTAGACATTATGGCATAGTGCATGATGAACGATAAGGCATAGTCTTTGATGAACTATATCGGATATTCTACGATGAACCATATCGCATAGTCTATGATGAACAAAGTTCCACAGCCATTGATGAACCACATCTCATAATCTTTGATGAAATACATCGCATTGTCAATGATGAACCATATCGCATAGTCAATGATGAACCATAACGCAAAGTCCATGATGAACTATACCGCATAGTCTATGATGAACTATATCTCATAGTCTACGATGAACTATACCGCATAGTCTACGATGAACCATATCGCATAGTCAATGATGAACCATATCGCATAGTCTATGATGAACCATATCTCATAGTCAATGATGAACCATATCTGATAGTCAATGATGAACCATATCGCATAGTCTACGATGAACCATATCTGATAGTCTATGATGAACCATAGGGCGTAGTCCATGATTCATGATCCTTTCTGTATGCCTTGCAGGGCATAGGTAGGCATCGTTCTGCAAGATAAACAACATTAATAAATATAATATCGGACAATATAAAGGGTTTGTTTCCTTGGACATGTTCTTCAACACCTTTCAGAATGGCGTCATACAATGACATTGAAAACTAGTGAAGAATTATTATTTATACGTCATAACATTCAGAGTATAAAAAAACTACATTGCTAGTGCAAAGAGTAGTTCCTGAATACATATTATTTTGATGGAAACAAACAAATCTTTGTAAATTGAAAAGAATCCCCAGTGAGATGGGAGATTGACGCTTAGTCTCTCAATATACATGTATCAAATTTTGATAGAAACAAACAATTCCTTTTAAATTGAAAAGGAGCTCCATTGAGAAGTGAGATTCAGAACCTGAGGAAATCTAGACATGTTCATGTAGACCTTTAGCATTGCAGAACGGGAGGAAAGGAAAATAGTTTGGTTCAGGGACTGTGAGACAAACTAGTGCAAAGATGCGAATAACTTATCTTCGTAATGAGATTTGAATTTAAATTCGTCCTTTTCAGAACATCGACTGACTACCGAGTTCACCAAAAAGGTGATAGCAGGTCTGTGGTTGTACTCGCTGTTTTGGACTGCGATGCCTTTGTTGGGTTGGAGCCGCTACGTCCTGGAACCTTTCGGGACTTCGTGCAGCATCGACTGGACACTGAGAACCCCTAGTGGTCGAGGCTACACTTTGTCTCTCATCTTCTTTTGCTTCGTTGTCAATATTAGCATCATTGGATTCAGTTACACGAATGTCGTGCGTACATCCAGACGCCTCATGAGAAGACTCAGGGCCACGAGGACTTCCCTCAGTATAGACGAAGCAGTCGAACAGAGGAGTATCTCAAGGGAGGACAGGCTCGTCTGGGTAAGTCGCGTTGATGTGAACGGGGCTTCGGGAATATTTCAGAAACAAATAGAATCCCATGCCGTCCGGGTAAGTTGTGTTGATGTGAACAAGTCTTAAGGAATACCTTATAACATTTAAAATAGTCACAGGCTAGACTGAGTAAGTCGTGTTAGTGAACAAGTCTTAAGGAATACCTTAGAACATTCATAAGAGTCACAGGCTAGACTGAGTAAGTCGTGTTAGTGAACAAGTCTTAAGGAATATCTTAGAACATTTAAAATAGTCACAGGCTAGACTGAGTAAGTCGTGTTAGTGAACAAGTCTTAAGGAATACCTTAGAACATTTAAAAGAGTCACAGGCAAGACTGAGTAAGTGGTGTTGATGTGAACAAATCTTAAGGAATACCTTATAACATTTAAAAGAGTCACAGACTAGACTGAGAAAGTCGTATTAGTGAACAAGTCTTAAAGAATGCCTTAGAACATTTTAAAGAGTCACAGGCTAGACTGAGTAAGTCGTGTTAGTGAACAAGTCTTAAAGAATATCCTATAACATTTAAAAGAGTCACAAGGCTAGACTGAGTAAGTCGTGTTAGTGAACAAGTCTTAATGAATATCTTAGAACATTTAAAAGAGTCACAGGCTAGACTGAGTAAGTCGTGTTAGTAGTGAATCAAGTCTGAGTAAAGTGAATAATCCTTAGAACATTTAAAAGAGTCACAGGCTTGACTGAGTAAGTCGCGTTGATGTGAACAAGTCTTAGACATTTGAGTCACAGTAGACGTGTTGAGTGAGTCAAGTCTTAGAAGAATATCTTATTACATTTAAAAGAGTCACAGGCTAGACTGAGTAAGTCGTGTTAGTGAACAAGTCTTAAAGAATATCCTATAACATTTAAAAGAATCACAGGCTAGACTGAGTAAGTCGTGTTAGTGAACAAGTCTTAATGAATACCTTAGAACATTTAAAAGAGTCACAGGCTTGACTGAGTAAGTCGTGTTAGTGTGCAAGTCAAGTCTTAAAAGAGAATGACTGAGTAAGTCGCGTTTGTAGTCTTAAGGAAACATTTAAAAGAGTCACATGCTAGACTGAGTAAGTGGTGTTGATGTGAACAAGTCTTAAGGAATACCTTACATCTTTTAAAAGAATCACAGGCTAGACTGAGTAAGTCGGGTTAGTGAACAAGTCTTAAAGAATATCTTATAACATTTAAAAGAGTCACAGGCTAGACTGAGTAAGTCGTGTTAGTGAACAAGTCTTAAAGGATATCCTATAACATTTAAAAGAATCACAAGCAAGACTGAGTAAGTCGTGTTAGTGAACAAGTCGTAATGAATACCTTAGAACATTTAAAAGAGTCACAGGCTTGACTGAGTAAGTCGTGTTAGTGAGCAAGTCTTAAAGAATATCCTATAACATTTAAAAGAGTCACAGGCTAGACTGAGTAAGTCGTGTTAGTGAACAAGTCTTAAAGAATATCTTATTACATTTAAAAGAGTCACAGGCTAGACTGAGTAAGTCGTGTTAGTGAACAAGTCTTAAAGAATATCCTATAACATTTAAAAAAATCACAGGCTAGACTGAGTAAGTCGTGTTAGTGAACAAGTCGTAATGAATACCTTAGAACATTTAAAAGAGTCACAGGCAAGACTGAGTAAGTCGTGTTAGTGAACAAGTCTTAAAGAATATCCTATAACATTTAAAAGAGTCACAGGCTAGACTGAGTAAGTCGTGTTAGTGAACAAGTCTTAAGAAATACCTTAGAACATTTAAAAGAGTCACAGGCTTGACTGAGTAAGTCGCGTTGATGTGAACAAGTCTTAAGGAATACTTTATAACATTTAAAAGAGTCACATGCTAGACTGAGTAAGTGGTGTTGATGTGAACAAGTCTTAAGGAATACCTTACATCTTTTAAAAGAATCACAGGCTAGACTGAGTAAGTCGGGTTAGTGAACAAGTCTTAAAGAATATCTTATAACATTTAAAAGAGTCACAGGCTAGACTGAGTAAGTCGTGTTAGTGAACAAGTCTTAAAGGATATCCTATAACATTTAAAAGAATCACAAGCAAGACTGAGTAAGTCGTGTTAGTGAACAAGTCGTAATGAATACCTTAGAACATTTAAAAGAGTCACAGGCTAGACTGAGTAAGTCGTGTTAGTGAGCAAGTCTTAAAGAATATCCTATAACATTTAAAAGAGTCACAGGCTAGACTGAGTAAGTCGTGTTAGTGAACAAGTCGTAATGAATACCTTAGAACATTTAAAAGAGTCACAGGCAAGACTGAGTAAGTCGTGTTAGTGAGCAAGTCTTAAAGAATATCCTATAACATTTAAAAGAGTCACAGGCTAGACTGAGTAAGTCGTGTTAGTGAACAAGTCTTAAAGAATATCTTATTACATTTAAAAGAGTCACAGGCTAGACTGAGTAAGTCGTGTTAGTGAACAAGTCTTAAAGAATATCCTATAACATTTAAAAGAATCACAGGCTAGACTGAGTAAGTCGTGTTAGTGAACAAGTCTTAATGAATACCTTAGAACATTTAAAAGAGTCACAGGCTTGACTGAGTAAGTCGCGTTGATGTGAACACGTCTTAAGGAATACTTTATAACATTTAAAAGAGACACAGGTCCGTCTGGGTAAGTCGCGTTGATGTGAACAAATCTTAAGGAATACCTTATAACATTTAAAAGAGACACAGGTCCGTCTGGGTAAGTCGTGTTAGTGAACAGAGATTCAGGAAGATCTGGAAGGGAGACAAACTTGATACGGTAAATCGTGTAAACTTGGACAGTTCCTTCGGAATATATATCAGTATGTCAAAGGGAGACATATCGTCTAGGTTACTCGTGTAGATGTGCATGTGATCAAGGCTGCAAGAATATATATTCCCACGTTAGCAGGTCTTTGGAAAGAGTTCAGTATCTCAGAGGGAGACTGACAGGATCGTAAGTCGTACTGATTGGGTAAGTCGTACCGGGCTTCAGGAAAACTACACATCTTTTCTCACCAGAAGAAAAGACTTCTTTCCAAATTATCCCAACATCCGAACCAAATCTTACCAACTGTTAGTTGGGTTGGTGTTAACACCGGTTAGAACATCTGCAGTTACTGCCTGTCAGAGGGATATATACCCGTGAAGATCCAGGTTAGAATTGGCCTTCAGCAACATATGCTAAAGTCATATTTGGCAGTCGCTAGTTAGAGCTAGTTCTTGAATATACGCTTGTCCCCGGAAATCTGGTACCGGAAGTAAGCTGGGCCCCGTCTCGCCTATCGCAAGTTCACGCGCACAAAGGGAGCCGGGACCCAGCTAATTACCGGAAGTAGCGCCTCACGGGGCCCGATTACAGGCCGTATTACAAAAACACATGTGAATAAACGAATCCAACTCATGCCAACACTGATGTTTCGTGTTTTAGATAACGATGGCCATGGTTCTGTCCTACGCCGTCTTATGGTCACCATACGCCATACTGTCCATCGTGTACACATACGTCGACGACCTGGCCCCGTGGGTGTCCACGATTCCAACGATGATGTGCAAGAGTTCCTGTCTGGTGAATCCGCTCATCTACTGCATGTTCAACCAAGACTTCAGGAACTATGTTATTAGGATTTGTTCGAGGCAGAGGAAGGTTGGAGAAGCGGTGAAAAGCAAGTGAGTAGTAATACATGTACTTTTCATAGGCGGATCCAGAGGAGGGTGTGAAGCAATACTTCAGAACTATCACAGCGGGAGATACCAGAAACTGGCTCCACATATTGTACCCATGTGGGGAATCGAACCAGGGGCGTAGCTACCATTATAAATAAAAGTCCGGGCTTACACATGATTTTCGCTGAAGATCACCATGAAAGAAGGACAAGCCCTCAATACTATCTAAATATAAAGCTTTGCAGCATATCGGGCTCACACGAAAAACATGGCTTGGCTTACGTGCCTGAACGCTTTGGAGTCTTGGGTGACATTATCGTCCGTTCAAATCCTGCATCGTGGGTTTGAATCCGCAGTCCATCCTGATTATAAAAGATGGTTTGTTAGAGACACACACGTACACGCTTGTTGTTTAGCTCCGCACTCAGCAATATTCCATCTATATGGCGACGGTAAGTAATCGAATCAGGACCAGACAAGCCCGTGATCAACAGCATGAACATGGACCTACGCAATTGGGATACGATGAGATGTGTCAACCAAATCAGCGACCCTGACCACCCGATCCCGTTAGTCGCTTACAAACCTGGGTTTGCTTAAGACCATTTCTAACCCGGATCTTCACGGGCCTCACGTACTTGTATGTTTAAACAAAGTGATCAGCGTCCACGGCTTGTATATATTTTGTTCATTCCGTCCACATTAAAACTGGTAATGAAATGTTCTTAGCTGAACTAGGAGTGGTGCATGGTGCACCCTTAAAACGTGGCAAGTATTATGTACATAAATGTCCATGATCACAAGAGATGCATTTAAATCTGTTATACGCAACGTGGTAGCATATATTTCGGCAAATAAAAGCGGCAAAACCCGTTCCACATCCGAGTCAATTCTACAATAATTTTGACAATAATTGTGATGATACTAGTTGGTCACGAAACGGTGAGCGTATCCTGCCCCACCAGTGGCAACCGTCAAAAACATAATTATGCAAAGGCTAATGAATTCTAAAAGTCTTGAACACAGGATACGATTCAAAATAGGGACATTGTTCTTTGTCACTGATGGGTCAAACGTTGAAATTTCCTGCATTTGTTTACCATGGACTTCTACTGAGCGGTTAGATGTTTTGTCAAGCAACTTCTATGCAAGAGTATGACGCTCTTTAAAGTCTAAGACTGCCTCCGTGGTGTAGTGGTTAGAAGCATCCGCCCGGAGAGCGGAAGGTCGCGGGTTCGATCCCCGGCCCCGTCATACCAAAAGACGTTAAACTATGGTACTTGTTGGTCCCTGCCTGACACAACAAGGACTGGTCGGTTTAGAGTCAGTATAATGTGTCTGAGTGGGGTGATCATGCTTAACTGCGGTATGGTACCTCAGTGAGCTGGCACTATAAAACAAGCTTAAGTCTGTGCTAGTACAAGCAGCCACATATACACACGCATGCACGTCGTCATATGAGCGAAATATTCTTAAGTACGACGTTAAACCCCATTTCACCTCACCTCACCTCTTGAAATCATGGTAACTTCATGTTCGATTTGTAACCATGGGAACAAATAAAAACAAAACACAAAAACCTTCATGTTCAATTGTAACCCAAAGGTTGTGAAATGTAAACGCCAATGGCTGGCGCTGTTGGGGTATTGATGGCCAAGAAAGCAGCAAGATGGTCATCAGGAATCGCCACCTGAGGGAAGACCCCTTCAACCATCAAGGCGGCCAACTAATGATGCTGTTCCTTCCTGTGCCAGCTTAGGGACTTGGGCACAGACTTCAAAGGATGTAAAGAGAGTCTGGAAAACAATCAGGAAGACCTCCAGCTACCATCACTGAGAAACATGTTGATTGATATATTATGTTTATGTGATTCGGTACACATCACATGGCCAAATCAGAAGGCATTTGTCAGAAGAGAAGTGGGAACATTTTGAAAAATGAACTGGGATGAAACAGGATTCTGCACGTTGGCCAGAACCGCTCCGTATTCATCGTCTCATGGGAATTTCGAAGCGGGCTCAGCGCATATAGTAGAATTTCTTACAAAAATACCTTACAAGGTCCGGGGTTAAAGGGTTCTACTGTATTACTTATTGGCTACCTGGATATCGACCATCTGACACGGCTGGTATTAGAGGGTGGCGGTTTTGTCATCTCTTGGCCGACCAGCATATCAAGATGAGGATGATGGTCAATCACGTTGATGTTTTCCCAGCCTCATCCCTCCTAATGGGGGATCGTTAAAGTGGGGGTACAGTGGGGGTAGAAATATGAGTACAAGCGGTTCCAGTAGCTGGAGGTTTGTTCAATGAGTGAGTGAGTGAGAGAGGTTTTACGCCGCTTTTAGCAATATTCCACCAATATCACGGCGGGGATACACAAGAACCTTAACCACTAGGCTACTTCACCGCCCCCTAGTAGCCATGAAAGAGTTGTCGTCCTTGGTTACTCAGATGTGTAGTTCCGCAATGGCCAGAGCTGTTCACAAGTCTCTTGTCGCCATGGCAGCAATGCAAGGCTTTGGTCTTGGTCTCATTGAACAACTTACGTGTTTACTAGAATTGGCGCCATTATATTTCTATCTCCACCAGGATTACTATTCTTCACCAATGGAATCCAAACACCCCGACACATTTTTGGCAGAAGTGTCTTGTCTTTGGAAAACACAGCCACCAGTAATTAATAATGCTCTTCATCAGGGTAGGCTCAGATCATTTGAACCCATTGTGTAACCACAATGACATTCAGCAAAACTCACAAACGCATATACCTTTATGTTCCATTCCAACTGTTGATCAAAATAGATCCATTACAGATGGAATAACAAATCGATGCTACAATACCCTACTTCCAGGGACGTTAAACACAGCGACGCTGCAAACACGTGTTGAGTGTGTGTGTGTGTGTGTGCGCGCGTGCGTGCGTGCGTGCGTGCGTGTGTGTGTGTGTGTGTGTGTGTGTGTGTGTGTGTGTGTGTGTGTGTGTGTGTGTGTCACCCACAGTAAGCGTAAAACACATAAAATATAGTAAAATTCTTTAAGTTGGTTTTAAAAAAATTCTTAAGGCGTGAAAAGCTTTCCTTTTTCAACTTTGAACAGCTTTTGAATCCTTTTGAAATTTGGTTCTAACTGTTAACCTTTCAGCACCCCACAGGCAGCTTGGGCTATCCGGGGCAATAATACAATAATCAGACTGTGTGCTAGCGCTTTGAGTATGTTCATTGTACATGTAAAAGGCGCTTAATAATTTCGCATTTATTAATATTATTATTATTACTTGCAGGCCTATCAAACGAATAATCGTGGACCGAACAAGGGAAGGTATTTACATCGGGGATGCTGAAGTCGAGGTCAGGTCTGAAAACAGAATCCTCTTTTAACTGGTAACTTCACTGGCCATGTTGTCAGCATGATTTGACCAGTCCCACCTGTGACGTCTGGACGTGACCTTGAGAAACAGGGTGATGTACGTGACATCGTCACGAGGGTCACATTTGCAGGACGTACTGCGTGACTGAGAGGAACAAACAGTTGTTGATGGAAGAATGATGCGTTATGCTGCAGCGTCTGGCTGCATGCTGAAGTCGGTATCTGGGTTGCTAACAGCAGCATAGGTGTCCGAAGTTTTGATCAGTGGATGTATTTAATGAAGATGGGTATTTGATAGTAGGTAAGGACAGATTTGGTTCAACATCGCGTCAAAAGTATAGCACTTATGTAGCCACGATGATAGAACATGTGTGTGCATGTGAGTGAGTTTGGTTTTACGTCGCTTTTAGCAATATTCCAGCAATATCACGACGGGGGACACCAGAAATGGGCTTCACACATTGTAACCACTGTGCATGTGTAAATTAATAAGAATCTGCCGACCAGGGGTGTTGGGGTGGTCTAATTGTTAAAGCGTTTGTTAGCCAAGCCGGAGACCTGGGTTCGATTCCCTACATGGGTACATTGTGTGAAGCCCATTTCTGGTGTCCGCCATGATAGTGCTGGAATATTGCTAAAAGCGTTGTAAAACCGTACTCACTCCCACACTCTGCCGACCTGTATTTCTCATTTCTCATTTCTTAATGCCGAGCGCCAATCAGTGTAATACCATGTTTGAACGTCACATCGAACATGATCTTCCTTTCCTCGAGCGGACGCGCTGACCACAACACCATATGGGAGTTATAATTCATAGCATGAAGACATATTTCTTCATTAAATCAAAACTTCGGATTCTTTTGCTGGAAGAGCCTTGTATAGCAAAGGTTAGTCTGTAAGTAACTAAATGTTAAACCCAAACCAGGGGTTGATATGATGAGCACCGTCTCATAAACCAGGGTAGTGTTATTATTGATACCCTTTGACGAATCGGTTGGGGACAGAGCCCGTCTCATAAGACAGAGTAGCGTTATTATTGGTACCCTCTGACGAATTGGTTGTGGACAGAGCACGAGTAATGGTAAAGGGTAAGATAGACTAGAATTACAACGAATTTGTTGGTATACATGTCGAACAGATGTATATGTATGCCTTAGTTCTGTAGATATTTCAGAAGAATTGCTTCATTGCGTGTCGTACTGTAAACACACTGAATCACTGATGGAGCTGACCTTTCAGAAGTAAATATATCGGCACGCGGCGTCTTGTAGTTAAGAGCAACAGGTAAATGGCCCCCACTCCAGCTGTGATTTGTCCCGAATGGGATCACGTGGTCCAGATGCTGTGATTTGTATAATGGTCCTAACTGATCTAATTACACATGGACAATGTACATCTATCACGGAAATAATGATGATCTGAGTTGTTCCTTTCTGTAGCACTAGGAGCTTCCGTGTTGCCAGTGCTTAAGAGAAGTGATTCTTAGAGCCTGATTCTAAGAACCAAAAAGTCCTGGTAGGGCTGGCTGATATGATGGATAATCGGAAATACTGTCGACAGGAAAAGTAATTAATGATTATCGATTTGAAATTTGTGTTATCGATAATATCGTACATTAACTTTTGTGTTTTATGTTTTA